CGATTCTGGGTTCGAGTCCCAGAGTGAACATCAATTCTGGGATGTAGGTACATCCAACCGACGAGTCCTAAATAAGACTAAATGCGAGTCCTGGATTCCACTGCTAGCCACAATTCACCTTTGATTATAATGCTTGTGAATTAAGGCTATATTAAGGCAATACGCACAGGATGCACATATGGCCAATAAGTTACTGATCAATTGCAATCCTAACACATCAATGGAAAGATTCAAACAAACAATACAAAATGGGAGAGAATAACATCGTTTATTTTCGAATCTAATCTTTATGTCAAGTTGATTCAAACAATAGGAATGTTATTTCATATTGATTCTTATGCTAAGTAATAACAAAAACCAACTATATATCAATAAATTAATACTTTCTATAATTTATTTCATTTCTAACACTCAATTCCATTACCAAAATTAATATAATTTTACTGTATTTAACTCATTGAGAAAATGCTATTGGTTTTTTATTTATTTGTCAATTAATCTGTATTTATTAAAACGGAAGAAATTAATTTTAAGATTAAAAGAATGTTGATTACGGTAATCAATATTGTCCGAATTATTGATATTAGAAAATGTAATGATTAAAATTACCATTTATAATTCAAAGACAAATTGTCCAATATATGGACTTATGTTATTAGAAGATTTAAGGGAGATGATAAAGCGGAGTAGAAATAAAGAAAACTTTTTGCATCACTTATATAAGTTCTACAATGCTCGCTGGTGAAATGAAAATAAATTTTATGAATAATGAAATATCTGCATAGACATTTAGTGTTGTTTGTTTGAATCTTCCCATCGATGTGTTAGGACTGCTACTGCTCAGTCTCTAATTGGCATATGTGCATACTGTGCGTATTGCCTCGATATAGCGCGTCCTGGATTCCACTGCTAGCCACTATCCATCTCTGCTCTACATAGACAATTTATTTTAAAAGTGATCTTTCTGGCGACCTGCTTGAATATCTGGGCTACCTGTTTCTGCCATCTAAATATTTCAGCAAGTTGTTTGTCTTTTTTGTTTTAACACCTCGTTATGTCTACGAGTCGCATAACCTACACAGGCGTGCTTATGAAAAGCTTACGTCCTTTCTCTGCAAAAATTACAAAAAACTACAATAAGAGACATCGTGGTTGGTTATATGCATTAAAGAGAACGAACATTAATCAAATGTCGATTCCTGAGTTGCTAAATTCTAAGTGCCGATCATTAATTAACAATATGGACTATCTCCAATTCCTACTAAGTCAAAACATGTATTGTAATTGTGGTGTCATCACAACTCAAGAATCTTGGTTAACTTATTTAAAAGACGATTGCTTAGTATCACCACGTGATTTCAATATCTATCGTCAGGATCGATCAATCAATAAAAAGAGGTGTGGCGGCGGTGTGGCTACGTTTGTAAACGTTAACTGACTTTATCGACTGTCTAACTTTAAGATGCCGTCCAAAACACCTGTATAATTAAAATATATGTTTATGTTACCAACATCTACATGACTCCAGACTGCACGTCATCTGTCATCAGGTCAAGACAGTTCTACTGTATGGAGCTGAAACTTCAAGAACTATCACAGCAATCATCATAAAGGTACAAGTACTTACAAACAATTGTTTAGGTAAGATACTGAATATCCGTTGGTCGGATACCATCAGCACGCAATCTACTGTGGGAGAGAACAAACCGACTTCCAGTGGAGGAGGAAAGCAGGAAGAGACCTTGGAGGCGGATAGGACATACATTGGGGAGATCCTCAAACTGAATCACGAGGCAAGCCCTAACTTGGAATTCTGGAGGGAAACGGAAAAGTGGAAGGTCAAAGAACACATTGTGTAGGGAACCGGAAGCAGACATGAAAAGGAAGAATAGCAACTGGAAAGAATTGTCCAGAAGAGAGTTCGATGGAGAATGCTGGTGGGTGGCCTAAGCTCATCCATGAGGGGTGACAGGCGTAAGTAAGTATTATGTAAGACAGCAAGAAAACCGGATCAAACTTGTGAAATACTTCATTATATTTCTGTATATATACTAAACGTTTTTCAGATTATTACAATAGACTTTCGTTTCGCCTTCAATAAAATCTATATCAAGAAATTGTGTTTACCAAACAAAATAATGAAATAAAAAGCATATGACCTTTTAAAAAGAATATAATCAATCATAGGTTTCACGAATATCAACTAATCAAGGAATAGTTCTTCGACAGTTTTTCATGAATTTGATTATATCTCAGATGTTAAATAATGTTTTAAAAATGAATTAAAGTGCAAAGAGTCATGAACCAATTTCGTCTATCAAGCAATTATTGACAGTCTGTTCACAACATATTACTTTAAGCAGCTGTTCGAAGTTCAAGAAGTGCACATTAATACTTTTCATTGATGAAGGACAAATCACGGATAACACCTAAAAAATGGTAGAATATAAGATGGCTATGAAATATTTTACTGATGAGTACGGTAAGTAAAAAAGAATATAAAAAAGACTAACCAAATGATCACTTATGATTAACTGCCTCCGGTTACCTTTGCGACTATTCGTTATATTAAAAAGTCTATTTATGGCTTCACTGGAATAATAGGTCTTCAAAAGTCCGAAGTTTTAAATTTAGAAATAATGAATGCGGGTGTTAAAGATGACCAGAAAGTTATATATATATATATATATATATATATATATATATATATATATATATATATATATATATATATATATATACGAAACACATTTCAAACCTCTCAAAAAACTAATCACTCAGAATGAAAACATACACCTTCATTTTTGTTTTCTCCTTTTCATCCAGAAAATAAATAAATCCCTAGCTGCTATGGTAACTGGTCACTTACAACCAATATACACATTTGGAAATAAGTTTAGTGTTGATGATAGTGGCTGGTAAATAGTATCATTCAAAATCTAACAGATACTTTAAGAACTTACCATACTTAAAAACAAGTTTTACAAAAAGTTAACATCACATACATGACAGTTGCAAGTGTTATAATCAAATGGATTGGAAACAAATCTCAAAATCACGAATAGCTTGATTTGCTTGAGGCTGATACTATGAGGTCCCAGTGAAAAGTAGCAAATCGTAGAATAAATTAAATCTGAATTGAAATATTTGAATGTACTGATGATCATAGAAGGAAGCTAAATCGGGTGAATTTGAAAGTGATAGTTAATAGAACTCAACTTGTCGAGTGAATGGTATAATGCTCAATAAAAAAACTAATGTGGGATTGTGAATTTTAGTAGCTTTAATGTAGGAAGAAATAACGGTGAAAATACACTTTAATGACGAACCAACCAGTTTTGAAACATAAAGACTGGTAACTTGCATCTTATTGAAAGCCAATTAAGAAGCAAGTGAAAATTACCAATATATAGTTACTAAAAAGATTAAATTTGTCAAATACCAGAAGACTGAATAACAAGAGTCACATTTTATGGATTCCTGAAGACAATCTAAGGGTTCTTAACACCTAAAGTCAAAAAGTAAACAGCACATTTATTCATTTCTATACCTAAAGTGTGCTTCACCAATTTATCCCTAAACTGGTTAAAAATTAGTTTTACTTCCTCAAGGTCAGTTTAAAGTCGCTGAAGATTTTGAGTAAAATATGCTTTCACAAAAATAACCATCAAGTCCCAATTGCATACAATTGTTCTCTAGGGAATATCGACTCATGATAAAAACTGCCTACCCGAGTAATTCACCATAAGTCAGAATAAATTATTGGAATATCACTCAATTATGATGTTATTCTTTTTTGGTGCGCTTATTCTTGGCAATGATCGCAAAAACTAGATTTTTTAAATCTTATTAATAGCATGATTTTGATTTATTTACTGGACTGTAATAGAATGAAAGATACTTCCGATTACAAAGTGGATACCATAAGTATTAAATGCTAAAATTCACGATTACTAATTGCATCACCAACATATCATCAGATAATATGGGATTTTAATAAAAGTAGTTAGAAATTTAATTGACAACGAGAAGCAGAGGGCAAATGTGTCAAATGTTATTCGACGCTTAACTTAGACTTTAAAGTAAATTAATGTAGACGAAGGTTATACTAATAGTAGATTAACAGTACATTTATTAGATCTCCACTCATCTAGTTATACTGGATTTTGAAGCATACATAGTTGCAAGCGCCTGATCATTAATTGGAATTAGCCTTTAACTAGGTTACTTTTAATAATGGTTTACAAACAGACTATTATACACTTTTGGACTAAAGATCTCATTCGTGTTAAGTTTTACATAGTGACATCCGTAAACAATAAAAGCCATTAGTGTCGTCTAGTAAAATATGGGAGTAATTACTGACCACCTTTATGGTAGATAATTAATTTTTCGAAAATTGATTATTTTTTATCTCATGCTATCGAATTAACAGTTATTTGAAGTTGTGAATAAAACATTAGCAATTTGAGCACAATGTAATTTCTCACAAATACATTTGTAAGTAACTATGTTGGTCAGATCACTTTGATTTCATCTAACTATAAGTTGGTCTCAACCATTCTGAGAAAAAAGTATTTAACCGGCTGTTTAACAGAAATTAAGTCAGAACCGATAAATTTCAAGATGAAAAAAAGTGGAACACTCGTTTAAAATAAATATGAACATTTATTTTTGAATATTTATTTCCTTTGGAAGAAGTAATTAGAAATAGTCATACAAATTTCCGAAGAATTTTCCAAAGTGAATAGTAACAAGTCATTCAATAAATAAATGTTAACAGCAAACACTTTAGGTAAATACAATAGTGAGTCATCTTTATTCATATTATTAGTACATTAACAGTAGAAGCAAAGAAAGGCAGAATGCAAAGATTACAATTCGAAATAAAAAGCATTGATGACCTAGTTGTGTACAGGACAAAGAACCAAGAGTATCGACACATGAATACATATACATAAGTACATACATGTATACACACACATCCTATTAAGTAACTGTTAAGCAGCAGCCAATTGTGTGGTAGATTGATCAGACGTTTGACTATTCCCTTCAGTTCCAATTAAACCGGATGCCTCATGAGCACCACGTGCAATTTCACTCAAAGCAATCCAGGTTCCTTCTAAATTTTCCTTCCAAAGTGTAACCTAAATGATGATAATTGGAGAGAATAGAAAGAACACAATAAAAATGGAAATAACACAAGAATAATTTATTCTGCATTTACAAAAAAACGGAAGCATTAGAAACATAGAAATGAATTAATTCGTTAGAAAAATAAATGCATTTATTCACTAGAACTCCAGGAAATATCTCATGGAACCAGTCACTAGCGAGCACAAGATCATCATCAAAAGGCGGTTTGTGGTTAAGCGCTTGCGCGCGAGACTGATAGGTCCTGGGTTCGAATCTCACGAGGTGAGATCGTGGATGCTGAGGAGTCCCACAGTAGGATGAAACGGCCGTATATATATATATATATATATATATATATATATATATATAACTTCAATATGATTTATTATATTAATCAAGCGAAACTATGTACTATTAAATAAATGGTATTGAGAATTAAACATGAAATTTTTACATCACAATTAACCTTTAAATAGTTTTCAATTTGACCAGAGGTGATAACTGACCTTAATCTTAGAAAAATACAAGCTGATGGAAAAAGTCGACTGTACTTTAAACACAATGATGATGATGATAATAATAATAATGATTAGAGCTGTGAACAAAATAATGACAAGTTCAGGACTACATAATGAATAATACTTATACAATGAATATGACATTTTTTCACATTATCATGGGAAGAATTCACAGAATCAGCAAATTCAGACAAACGATATAATTAAGATATGAATGCAAAGAGGTATCTATAAATATTTGTAATTTTTCAAAGCTTGATTCATGGCTACACTAATCAAAAAGGTGTGTAAGTTATCAATAATATAATATTGGCATCTAGAAAATAAGAACAGAACAATGTAGATACAGTGTAATTCAGTGAGTAGTACACTGTCTATTATCATCAAAGGAATTAATCATAATTATCTATGTATTTGGAAAACAGAAGAAAACAACATTTCAATCTAATTCTCTGACCAGTCTAATTCAATACATCTTTTGATTTCATTTATAATGCTTTGGATTAGCTTATTATTGATATTTTGACTGAGATGTGCGTGGGCTGTGGTACAGCCTGAGTGCCCAAACCGAAACAGGTGATTTTCTTAGGGAGACACACCCAGAGCATTTTACCTGAAAGTTTGATCCACAAGACAGTGAAGCGACGTCAGGAGATGCAGTCTCGTGGTAGCCAGTGACCAATAATGAGTTCATACGCCATTTGTTCCCTCAGGATTCTGGGGCCCATATGCATCACTAGTTTGAAACCAGGGTTTTCCAGCTCCTCTAGATGGACTTTCCGTGTCCACTAACCCTGTTAAAGCGCCGGACATTCGCTTTTTGTCCTCTCGATTCCGTAAACAACACCTCCACGAGAGAGCAATGAGCAGGAATTCCATGGCAGTGACTGAATACGCGTGGCCATGTGAGAGCATTTCGAGAGAGCAGACTCTCCTCACCCTCGGCCGTACCAAGGCACTTGACCATAACATAATTGCTTGGTTAACCATTCACTGGTTTCTTTACAGTCACGTAATTCACATTGAAAACTTTTTTATTAAAGGTTTTACAATCAGGTTTTTATTTCATTTCGTTTTTTAACCAATTCCATACTTTTTTGAGTAAATAGTGGTAATTCATGAGTGTAAAATATAGGTGTGTTTCACGTAAAGTGGATGGTGCGAATAATTTTCTCTCTTCTATTCCAAACAATAATTGTGTCTTTTATCTTCAATTTATCTCTAATTGCGCAACAATAGGCTTTAATCACAGAACAATATTATGCAATTTTATCGCAGTCTAGACAATTCAATATTGAAAGCAGTTACTTGTTGAGAGTTACACAACAATAGAACAACAAATAAATTCATATTAATCCCAGTTAAAATTACTTTACAAATATTTAAAATAATCAAAAATATAATATCCAGTGGGATTCTTTTATTTGATTAGATTATTTGGAAAAAATATACATATGATAAGGTGTGAATTTAACAATTCACATCAGTAGTTAGTATAGTTGAATGAAATCAGAAACATATGTTTCACATAATTACATCTATCTGATGGTCTCATTGAATACAAATCATGTTTTAGTAAGAAACGGTATATCCTCCTTTCAGTTTTAAGTGAAATGGATGACTGCAGCCAGTCGTCAAACATACGTAACCCGACTCATTATGTGAATCGATTCAAGCCAACATACAAAATTAGCATAGTGAGTAGTACAAGTAGTAACAGTATTATTATTATTAGTAGTAGTAGCAGTGGTAGTAGTATGGAGAGTACATGAACAAAGTGATGGGAAATTAATCCTTTGAAAAATAATATAATTATACAGCTTTTATGTATATAAAACGCTTTTGAATATGAAAAGAAACTTTTGTCAACCTTAAGGGTATCCAAAACGTTAAAAAGTATTCGTTTTGTATGACATTTTCGACGTTTTTTTGGTCAGGTTACATTGTTCGAAGCATTTACGTTTGTATTTAAATAAACTAGAAAACATTTATTTACATGGAAATATAATAGTGATGTTACAGTTGCATAATTAATTACAATTATTGAAATACAACAATGTACTACTATCACTATTACTACTATACCTACACAATATATAGGCATGTAACTGTTCATCATCACACAAATTTTCCACTAGGGTCATATTCAGGTCAAAAGTAATAACTATGTGCCTGTAATACAAATGTAAAACTATTCGTAATAGAACAATAACATGATAAAATATAAAGAATAATATGATTCATCTTCGTATAATTACCAAATCATTCATTCATCTTCACATTAAAAAAAAGAAAGAACAAGGTGAAATGAAAGGAGTGGAATACAAAAAGTTGATGATCCAGTCCACAGAATTCATTTGACCCGATAAGACAGTTGTAACCTTGGTTTGAAATTACAAACAAAGGTCAGGGTCATATACATACACTAACCAAGTCGATTTAAAACAAACGAATAACACAAAAATATTCTGTGAAGATGATGACATCATCTAAAGATGAAAGAGCAATGAATTAGGTTGGTTTTTTTCTTGAAAGTAAAAGAATGCTAGATTGAGGTGAATACATAATTACGAAATGTAAATAAGCACAGAGAAAGGCGAATGATTCTCTCTCTCTCTTTCACACACACACACACATACATGCATGCATAATACACAAAGACAAATAACAAAGCATAATGACCAACTTTTGAGGTATATTGACTGGTACTTGAATAGAGGTAACACCGTTTGTGAAAATAAGTGGGGTGGTTTTGAATATTAACACTCAAAAAAGAAGAACAACGGGTTTGGATGTAGAGACTGAAAATACTCCCGTCAATACTTGAGAGGAAGAAATAATTAAATTTCGGTGACTGTCTTTTTTACACATTTAATTAATATGTAGATTAAATTGCATATCGTTATGTTTGATACCATGAGTTTAGATTAATTGAAAAAGCGAACTATAAAACTTCAGAATATTAACAAGGTGTTTGTTTTCTTTAATTTTATGTACAACGTTAAGTTGACTTAGTATCAGCTCATGAAGTTATCTCTCAACCAACTTCACTTTCTCTACTACCACTGATACTGTTACTATTTCTACTACTCTGAAATTTCTCTTGACAATTTCATCTTGTTGTGCTAATGCAACATGGTAACCAATACACAAATATGCCAGGTTCTATGTAGCATATGACTGACTAATTAACTTGATATTGGAGAAATTAAAAATCAACAAACTAATATGATTATAATTAATTGACAAGAAATACCCCAGTTTGTAAGATTCCATTGACAAAGGATTTGTACTATTTAGCATTCATAAAATTACTCATCTATTGTAGTGTATGTTACTTATGTTGACAGTCATAAGTAGTACGTAACACTAATCAGAGGAGGAATGTATGGAAGCAGAAGGCTATGCGGGTAGACTAGAAGAAAACAGAAAAGGAAATAGAAAGGAATCGTGAATTGGAATAATCATACAGAATATGAAGGACAAATGATGGAAATTTGCAAACGAAGTATTCAGTGTATGGTTCTCATGTTTTGTAATTTTGTATTTAAATGCAATCGGCCTCTACTTGTGTTCAATACTAACTAGTCAAAAACAAGAGCCTTTCAGTAATCAAACAAAACTCAATTTACTATGTCCAAGAATAAACAAAACAACGATAAAAAACATATCTCTTCTCCCAAAACTATTATTATTCCTTTCATCAAAGATCGTTTTGCGGAATATGGGGAATTTTCGGACAACTTTCTTATTCTTAACCAATCATTAGTCAAATGAGGACAGAAAATGAGAAAGATTTCATCCTACCACGTCTCGGAATTTTTAGCGATGACAGTTATAGTGTTCTGTCAACGTCCAGCCTAAAATCGCTAACTGACTTAGTTACAAAACTATGAGATGTTGAACAGGAACTCATTGAGTGGAATCCATACAATTGATCTAATGACACCTAATAGTTAGGTCTTAATGCATTAGAGAATGAGTGGTCAGAAAAATGTTATACTCCAGTAGCTTGTGATATAGGATTTTTGAGAAAATGCTAATATGATGGAAAGAAGAATTTTATTTTGAGACAAATAAAAAAAGTATTCTGAATAATGAGCTTATTTTTGGTCTCAGTTCAGTTCGACGGTTCCAAACAATAATTCAGCCTCGTGAGTGGTAGATTGTCACTGAGTTAAATCGTTTCATTTATTATTCAAGATTTTATTCATTCATTTCAATCGTGAATTATTTATCAGATCATAAACCATACCAATAATCAACATATTTTCTATCACTGTGTAATTTGAAGGTGTGAGGACGGTCCACAAGTGAAGTTGAGGAAGCTCTAAGAAGCTCAGAAGGAGCCGAAAATATTCCATCCAATCAGCTTTTGTTATCTTCAGACATAGGACTTCACATAGGGCTGAATTATAAGGATAATATTAGAAATTTTGTTCAGAAGACAAACGACTGAGTGAAGTTATGCATATACTACTTATGGACATAAAAATAATGGTGGTACACTCTACAGTTCAATATGTGACGTTGATATCTAAGAATACAAACAATTCGATCTATTTAAAATGAGTGTTTACAAAAGAGGATTTTCTCTGAAAAAGCATCAGTGTCGTATTGTGACTGAATAGCAATGTGAATATTTGCCATAGAAACATAGTATGAAATGTAACTTATATTAAATGAGTTTAACAAGTAAAATTGCGAAGAAAAAAGAATTAAGTAAATCTTAGGATATACTAAACAGGTTTACATATAAGTCATGAACAGAACCTTTTGTTTTCAACAGTCTATGACCGACTGACTAGTAAAGAACACAGTGTCCTAATAATTAAGACTAAGTACCTTAATTAATAGATAAAAAGTTTCCATAGAGAATTCAAGCGGAGGAAACAAAGTAGATGAAAAAAGAGGTTGCCACAAAATGAGTATTACGTTTTCAGCTGTACCATATAAAGGAAAAAGGAAAAGTGGGCGGCTAATAGAAGTCCTCTAATAATAACAGAAATGTGTCGACATGACCTAGCAACATATATTTCAATGGCCCTTTAACATGCTGCTAAATGTAGATTATCTGCACGAAAAATTCGTACACACAAATTGGTTATTATAAATTTCGTCACACCCAATCCAAATTTGTGAGACACAAACAATGTAAACAAATGTCAGTTTGCTTGTGGCGAAATAGAACCGAGCACATATATTGGTTCAAGTTATCGCAGCACATTAGCATAACGAGACGAAACTATCAAAGGGGATTCCAGAGTAGTAGAAACAGTATTAGTACGAAAGGCAACAAAAAAGCTTAGGTGATAGACATCGTGATTCGAGAAGTAGGAATGATTTCGTGGAATAGAAAAACAGGAAAACGAAAGTGAGCAAATGACATGAAACTAAACATTTTAATTATCATATTCATCCGAGGGACTTTATTATAGACAGTAATTAACTAACAACTATTATAACAACAAAAAATAAATAAATAATGATTTTAATCGTTTAAAAATCCCAATCATATTAAAAGACTAATATTTGAACGAAGAATATTCTTTTCGATAAATTCTCTTCAGGTTCTACAATTATATATCCAAATTAATAATCCGAAAAATTGGCCAGGTTAAAGGCAAAGTACATAGTTTAATGCATGTAAATTTAGGATTGTCAAACCAAATAGTTAATGTTGATATGACTCATATAGAATGTTAACTTGAATCTGTATATACGTAAAATGAAAATTTAAGATCTGTGATCAGAATATAAATATGGGTCAGATAGGGTGAGAGAGATATGATAGTGCAATTACAATTCGATCAAGTGGAAGACTAAATGTGTGAAAAATTAGTAAGACGTAATAAGGAGGGATCAATGCGATGTGAATGAATCATGTCTAGGGGGGATTAATAATGATATTTAACCAATAATAATAATAATAATAAAATACAAAGATTTGTGATTAAAGATAAGAGACAATTACATTTGACTACGAAAGGTCGTAAGTACATAGTCAAATTAAGTCATACATAGCTAAGATGATTGTTCATTAATTGGCCTTGTGGTTGGCCAAGGGAGAAGTAGGGGTTGGAGATATTTCTTCTGTACACATAGCTCAGGTTTCTTCATTCTGATGGCTACTGCCTCCGCCGTTTGAAGGACTTTAAGCCTGACAAGCTTAGGCAAAAAATTACTGACCCTATAAATGATTGAAAAAGATTGGTTTATACTGGCACTATGACCAGTTTGTACTAAATGGGCCAAAATCGAGCTGTTTACTTTCTTCATCAGACCTTTGCTTAGCCACGCTGGGAGGTGTTCACGAGCACGAAAATGTAAATTCCTAGAACTTCGACCAATATAACTTGCTCCACAGGAGCAGTCGAACTGATAAATACAAAATGAAGTGGTCATTCTAGGAACTTCATCTTTAAGCCTCGGTGTCACCATTGGACGCGTAGAAAACACCAAACGTAGTTCACCTGCGTTGAAAGATTTTTGGATAGATCTGCGTAATCTCTGAGCAAGTATTTCGCCAGCGGCATCCCCCCTGAATTGTAGGCGCATGAACAAGGACTTTTTCTTGACAGTTTGGAATTCGCCTATTTTCACTTTAAAGATCATATATTTAATTATAAATTTTCTGGGATATCCGTTCTCCCTTAGAGCATTATGCAAGAGAATTTATCGAAAAGAATATTCTTCGTTCAAATATTAGTCTTTTAAATAATGATTTATCGTTGTTTTGACTTGATAAAAGAGAAGTTGGCTACAGATAAAAAGGTAATCTTGAAATATCGGAAAAAATCACTTTTGATTTGAGTGAACAGAATGAATTGAACAAAATATATGGATTATGCCGAAATAGAAAGTGAAATAAGCCAAAACAATATTTGTATCAAATTTTCATAAGTCATGAGTCAGTCAACCGATCAGCGAGTCATAATCAACATAAAGCCTGACATGTGCATTTGCCCAAGTTGTCATAATATCACTGTCAGTATAAAGAGATGATCAGTTCAACAAGGGGAATAGTTAAAAAGGTCGAAAAATATAGAAGGATCAGTGTTAGTGAGAAGGATTAAACAGCATATAGAATGCGGACAGAAATTAAAGGATGCCTTCAATAGGTCATTAATTTTAATGAAATGGAATTGAAAATATTCAACTAATAAGTTTAAAACAACAATGCAAAAAAGACACAATTTCTGGTAGAAACCATCGAAATCCACATCTCCTTAGTGGTATGTTTACTTGGTATGTTTACTGGTTGAAAAATCAAGAAGCCAGGAAAATAGCCGATGTCACATCGTTGCATAGACTTTATCATTTTCTTGATAAATATGACAATTTAATGGTCATGATAAGCAATGTTTATGTAGAACAGATGAAATGTGGCTGCCAGTGGGATGCGAGATGCACGCTTCGTTTCATGTGGGACTCTGCAGCTGGATTACCTAGTGAAAATATCAACAAGATAATCCAAACTATTAAAAAACGAGTCAAAATTTATACTCAATCATCAAGTGGATAACACGTTGTAGTTTAAGGTGAAAGATAATGGGTTCCAGTTCCGGAGTGGATAAAAACGCTGGAATGCAGGTAGGTTCAACTGACGAGTTTAAAATCAAACGAAATACTCACCCTAGATTCCACTGTTAGCCACATTACATCTATTCTATATAAAACTGTCATAATGGCTATATCGAGGAAATCCTCACAAGATGCACACATATTAACTAAAAATGATCACATTTCAGTCAAAATAATAATAAAGGTCTAATCCAAACGATTACAAATTCAATCGTAATAAACATTTCTACAAAAAGAAAACTGATTCAATCTATAGTTTGAAAGTATACCTTATTATCTCCTCCTGATACCGCTAAAATATTCCCAGTTACAGACCATGAAACATTCCAAACAACATCGGGATAAGTATATAAGATGGTTGGACGCCAAAATGTAGAATATTGTGTTGATTGAAAATCTTTCGATTCTACTAACTCATTAGAACTTGGATTTTTATTATTGTTATTATTATTATTATCGTTTATTGCTGTCGATCGATTCATCATACGATTTTCATTATTATTATCATTATTAGCTACCGACTGCCAAATTATTAATCTTCCATCTTGACCACATGAAGCGATTAATTGTCGTGAAATATTTAAGCTTGGACACCAAGCAACATCACGTACCCAATCGGTATGACCATCTAGACGAGTTTCTTCGATCCATTCTGAATTTCCAGAAGAAGTATCTTCACTATTAGTAAAAAAAAAACAAAATAGAGAGCAACAATAAAATTTCACTTAAACTATCCCCAAAAGTTAGACAGAATGAATTCATACTTATTCACTTTTGTATCATATGAGCATTAATACAGTACAACCTATGATTTACAATTACAGCTTCTTAATAGGAATACAAAAGTAACTCATGGTTATATTGAAGAAAAATTTAAAAAAACATTTGGCGAAGAAAATTTTCTTTCCGATATCATCTACTCTAGCTGTGCAATCATATTTATAGTAAATTCAAACATAAAGTAGTTTATTGAAAAATAGGAGGACGATTACACTATATAATGTGTCAAAGAAACTCGCTTAATAATAAAGAATCTGAAGATAATAAGATGAGGTGTAATGTATGGAAGATGACTGTTCACTTGACGAGTATGAGAAGGGTAAAGAATAAATTAGGAACGTGAAAGTGTTGGTAAAGAATAATTAAAATTAAAGAGATTAAAAACACTAGAAGTACATATTAACAATCAAATTACTGTTTACAAAAATGTAATCACAAAAGAATGCTGACTTTCACGTGCCCCTTTTGTGTATAGAGTTAAAGTTTGTAAAATGGATTGCTAACACCTCTGCAGTGCACATTTTACATTCGCCTTTCGAAAGCTATGCAAGATAATGTCTGGAGACGCGTTTGGAAAGCGCTCACTTTGTTTGTCCAATGTAACCTGCTCCATAAGAGTAAACAAGCTTATGAATACAGACTGATGTGGCCTAAAGTGGAAGTTCATCTTTAACACTTATTAATTTACGTTAACTTCATTTTACACAATGAATAGAGTCAAATCTCATTAGATGTTGTGATTAACTTGTGTTGATTTGTTGAAATGAATTAATCGGTTTATTAGTTTGAACTTTAAAGGTTTTATAGGACTAAGGAAGCTGATAGCTGTAGAGTAGTTATTGGTAAACAAGTTAGGACTTGGTACGAATGTGTATCCGTTCATGTTGCCAGTCATAACATAAGCGAAGCATGTGAAAATTCATAATTTGCATTAGTGAAGGAGTCAATTGAATAAACTTGTCGATAATACTAAGAAACAAAGTTCAAGTAAACATAAAGAACGAATGCATTTATCGCACTAGAATTCCTTTAGACTATCACAAATTACTAATACCATAGAGGTTAAAACGAGAAAATCTGTATCACTACACAAACTAACTATTAATTACTTTGTGAAGTCTTGATTTGATTGTCTCTAGTTTTTCTTTCTAATCTACTGGTACACTAAAAAACATTAAGTGTTTAGAGTAAGTGATGCATAGGTACTTGTAACGTATATCTCATTCAATCTCTTTTTCTTATCATTATTATTTCTTTGGATGTAAACGTAAGTCCAATCTTAACAATTGGTCGGTAGAACTCTGTGAATATTTTTTTTCTATATTTCATTTTCAATCGTGGACATTAAAATTTTAACTGATCATAATGAAAAATAATTTCAAATAATCATTTACAAAATAATAACAATAACAAAGAATATAAATATGAAATACACTTAATTCTGATTGTAATAAACATTTATTAAATATGAAAAATAAATATTGAATATATAAACAACAGATGAAATAAATCAGTTAACTTATTACTATTAGTTTTTCCTTCCTTATTAACTAAATCATTTAAAATTTATTATAACTGAACGAAATAATAACAGATCAGAAGGGGTTTCGTGGAGATTTCAGTATTTTTCATAGTTGAAATCATGAATCAATTGAAGCTAGACCACCATGGAAAACCTGGAAGCACTGAACGGCCATTTCATCCTATTATGGAACTTTTCAACAGTGCGCATCCATGATCCCGCACTTGAGAGATTCAAACACAGGACCTACTAGTCTTGCGCCAGAGCAATAATAATAAATAGAAATGTATGATAAGATTCATTGTATTCCTGTAATTTTCTCACTTTTTTATTACTGTTGGGGATGTTAAATCCCTAGAACTCACCTGGTAAATAATTTATTTCTGTAATTTTATTTTGAAAATTTGAATTTTTTTCACCTTTGAGTCATATTTCCCACTTGGAAATATCTTAAACGTTATTGGTATCTTTTTAGTGTGCTATTTTGTAATGCTTCCTAAGGACAATTTTATGCTGTATATATACGTTTGATTTCTTCCTATTGAGATTGCTTGTACTTCGACTGCTTACGGAATATATTTCCCCTACTTCGTCTTGGACTTCTCACTCTAGTTAGTCGGGCCTGGGACAACGGATTAGAATAGCCTATCGTGTCACTGTGTCATTGACCTTCGTTCCGTTTACCGAGTAAGGAGAAATCGTAACTAGCATCAAGCATATCAATTATTACTTACGTATTTTGATTAGAAAAATAAGATAAAATAGAATGACAATATGCAAGTTTCTAAACTAGCATTCATATTAAGTCCGACCTAGTGACAACACGATGCTCAAAGGTCAGTCACACTTGAACTAGAGGAGGATAAAATTCCATTTCACTAGTGATAAAAATTATCAAAATATCATTCACTTTTGTTTTAAACGTTAGCCTAGACTTTGCATGCAGTGTTCATTTGATCAAAAATAGAGTATTGCATACAAGTAAGTAGTTCCTGTCTAAAAAGACAGTGAGCTTTTGAAGGAATTTCAAAGAACCGCAAATAAATTTATTCCTGGAATCGTAAAGCTATTATATGATACAAGACTGAGTAAACTTAGCCTATTAACCCTGTGGTACAGAACTAGAGATAGTTGGATTACGGTCTTCAATGTCCTCATTTTTTGTCTTCCGAAAAAGAGGATCTGTGAGCACATTTTAGAAAATTTAACATATTCAGAACCAAATACTAGTCAAACAATCCCTAAATTTCCCATAAAATTTTCAACAAATGGAAGTGGTCGAAGCCCCATCTCCCTACTCATTCAAAAGAAAGATCAACTGACAGAACCCCATAGTCAGAACTGACATAGATCAACCAGCTTTTGCCTTTCCCAAATTAAAACCGATAATAACGACCAACGTAAGAATACTATAGTTACGCACCATCGGATGCGAACGTAGTGGTTTTCATAAAGGTTAAAAGAATTAGGTTTAACCCCAGGCAGTTCCGAGAAAACACATTCATTGAAAGTTTCACACTGGAATGAAACAATCGCCCAGTTTTTCCTGGTTCTCAATGGTTGCCTGGTGGGAAATCGGTACATGATATATACTACAAAACTAATTAAACCCCAAAAACTTCCCACACTAGCAGGAAGTCAGTCAGTCATGCGCAACGTAGAACCTGGTACGTGTGTACAAACGTCCAAGTGATCATATCCCTTTTGCACGGAGAGGTGAAATTGTCAGGGAGTATCCGAGGGTAATAGCAGCATTAATGGTAATAGAAAAGATCGGGCATCGAAGATAAAATCGAAGAAAAAATAAATTAGTGACATAAAAAATTATGAGAAACTCAGAAGCTAATAGGAAGACAATATTTTTGGTAGAACTGCCAGTATTTAAAGATTCAAAGACTATATCAAACGTCCTTCGCACTGACTTAACATATCAGTGTTATAAGTAACATTAATTGATAATGTAGATAACGAATGAACGCTAAACGAAGACCTTTCCAACCCAACGAATGTTTATAGTATATATTCATCAGATAATAAACTATCTATGATCACTTATGAAACTACAAAAAACAATGCGTATTCTGCCTACTTGATTTCCAAAAGCATTAATTTATTATCAGTAATCAATTTAGTGGACACAAGGGGAATGACATATTCAATAAGATAAAATCAAGAACCAACACACGTTAAACAAGCACTGAAAACATGGAGGAGATGAGCGGCTGTATTGCTCTAGTATGAGAGCCCTTTGAAGTGTAAATCTACAAACCTGAAACTGGAGATCAAACCCAGGACATTTGACATCGCGTTCGAACGCTCAACTTCTAGACCATTAAGTCGGCATCGAACATCGTAGAATTTCGACCTCAAAATTCATTGGAATGAAGTGTGGGAGTTGAAAATGTTATCAGATTATCCTTAATTGTTTCTAAAATATATACAACTAATACAAGTAGTGTTACATCCAGTGATTATAATACTATGGACCACAATAGAACAAGGTTAAGGGCGAAAAAGTAACACATAAGAACAATTGAACAGTCTAATCACAAATCTTCGATTCGTACGATTCTAACGTAGGTTTTTGCGCAATTGTAATAATGGTGACCAATGTTTAAATAACGCTAGATATTGACTATTTCATCATACTAAATACTTTCGCTTTAATACTACTCGTGTCACCTGTTCTCTATTGGTTTACTACAATTACTGTTGTGAAATCCGTTCACAATGTTTACACATGTGAAATGTAGCAACTAGGATGGATAAGGATTTGAAAATGAGCATGTACAACGTAATAATAATCGCAAAAAGCTATAAATATTTAAAATTGACGTAGAAATAGCACCGCAAAAATCATAATTAGCAAAAACATATTTTTAAAAGGAAAATCTGTGCAAGAAAAGAACTATTTCAACAACGTCAACAAAAATACTCATAGCATTATATCAGTTTAAACTGTACTATTCAGCTTATGTTATATTCTCAGTAATTTGTCTCATAACCATCAATAATCTTGAAAAAGGTTTACAATTGTTCCAATCAAAAATTTAATCACTTTTTTAGTAGTGTTGTAGAAAAATAGAGTGAGATTGTGTGCCATATGTCCCTCATACATCTACTTTAATGGAATTATTACCTCTTCGTAATGAAACATAGTTAATGTCATCGATTGATCTTGTTCAAACAACCACCGGAAACCAGGAGACAGTGGAGAGCTGACTCGTCTTACTGAGTACTAGTTTAGCGATTAAGCACTAACTGTAAAATACTTGAGATCGAATATGTAGCGAGGTCATAATTGAGCACCATTGAGAAGTCCTATACTAGGACGAAACAGTCTTAATGTTTGTTTCATGAATGCCACTCAGCGATG